GGGAGAGTAAAAATAGTTATGGTGAGCTGAAACAGCTCCATGCTGTGGAAGGGAGGGAATAAGCCCTTGCCAGGCGCCCTCAAATGCTCATTGGGCACGTTGGGGGGGGGTGAATAATGATGGCCACCAGCTCGCTGCTTGGCAAGGGAATTTTCTGGCTTTTGTCACTTGTACGCTCTGCTCAGAAGTCACAAAAACTCATTGTGTGTGAAACAACTCTACAGCAGGACAAATAATGGGTAACTACAATGGGTTCACATGACATGACAACCAACCAACAGAAACAGTGAACAGTCCTTGGCAGCCCTGCTCAGCTCTTGTCAACTCAAGGCTGTGGCTTCCTTTATGGAATTGATCTTCTCATGCCTTCCGATTTTCCTAGCTTTGTTGTCACTTTCCCTTGCTTTCTCCTGCTGTGTCTGCAGAAGGACAGCCTTAGCGTTGGATCCTTCTCTTTGCTCAGGAAACAAACAGCCTGCAGTGCAGCTTCTATGAGGAATGAGGAAGCTAGGATGGCGGCCTCATACGGAGGCATTCTGTTCCATGTACAGAGGGTCCAGGGCTAGGGAAGGATAAAGAATCTGGGCTGGGAATGCCCTGGGCTTTGCTTCCTGGACTCTGGCCCACGTGGCAGCATTCACAGGCCACCTGGAAGGAGCTGAGTCCCACCCTCTGCACAATCAGCGTCCCTCTTCCATGTCCTGCAGCTGCTCTTTTGGGGATGTGGGGGCTACTGCTTGCACAACTGGGGGCCCGCATGCATCTGCAGCAGGTACTCCAGACCCAGAAGGAACTGGACGGAGTATGGAAGTGGGCAGGGGACAGCAGGATGGCGTTCAAGGCGGATGAGTGCAAGGACCTGCACTTGGGGCACGGGAATGGGTGTCGTAAGTACAGGTTAGGGGACCATGGCTGGAGAGCAGCCCTTGTGAAAGGGACCTCGGGGTGCTGGTTGACCACAGGCCAGACATGAGTCAGCTGTGTGATGCGAAGGTCAAGAGGACGAACACCACCCTTGGTTGCATAGCCAGAAGCATGGCTTCCAGGTCGAGAGCGGTACTGCTGCCACTCTATATGACTTTTGGCTTTTCCTAGCATGATGGTCTTCTCCAGGGAGTCTTGCCTTCTCATGTTGTATCCAAAGAATGACATTTTCACTCTTGCCATTTATGCTTCTAGGGAAAGCGCCGGCGTATTTGAACTAGGACACAGGATTTGATCTAGGATCTAGGGTTTGATCTAGGATGTTTCTGCCAGTCCAGGAATTTGCAAAAGTCTCCTCCCATTTGGGTCCATTTTGCCTTTGGCCCCACATACCTCTTCAGTGTGGCCTCTGGAGAGACCCCCTTAAATTTAGCCGTCAGGCAGAATGGGATTCGATACCCTGGCTTAGAGAACCCAAATTCCACCAAATAATTCTTCCTGGTGGCAGCCATACATTCATCCATCTGTTTGGATCTGTGCACGTCTATAGGTATATACTGCAAACATTTGATTAATTCCTAGAAACCAAAAGGATAAATTATATTGCAGATCAAGTAAAATATTAAACATTAGCACTTAAATGCACCCATAAAAATTGATGGTTCTCTAGGATTATCCTCTGCTTATTAGGACTGTAAATTGCCTAATCAGTTTGTGCTTCTGCCAGGATAATCATTTAGAATGGCTTATTACAAGTAGAAAAATCTTGCGTTCCACAGATGCAGAGGTTTAATGCAGATCCACAGCAATTCTTTATTAGTATTAAGGAAGACTTGAATTTATTTATTTCACTTCTGTCCTGCCTTTCCTGCGTATTGAGCTTAAGGTGACATAGAAACAAACTGTGATCTGCGCATGGGGGAGCTTTCACAACAACCCTGTGAGGCAGGCAAGGCTGAGAGGTAGTGACCAACTCAAGGGCACTCAGTGGGTCTCCCAATTCACCATTCCACACTGAACTCTGCACTACTTCAGAGTGGACTCCGCGGTAGGTAAGAGGCAACTCTGAACAAGGGACTCTGAACTAGTTCAGCTCCACACTGGTTCAGTCTGTACTAGCTCTCTCAGTGCTGAACTAGGTCAGAGTCAGCTCCTAATGCTGAACCTTGAACTCTGCACTAGTTCAAATCTAAACATGGATCACTGAATTCTGAGCTAGTTCTGAGTTAACTTTGAACATTAAACTCTGCACTTGTTCAAGTTCCAACATGGAACTCTACTCTAGTACAGAGGGAACACATGACGCTAACCACTGAACTCCACAGGAGCTGAGAATGGACCCTGAACTCCACACTCGTTCAACTGCACTGGTTCAACATTGCCAAGCCAAAGTTTACTTCCTTGTAGTTTGACTTCCGAGGCTCAAGTTGCACATATCTGTGACAATGTAATTTCTAGCACTTGGATGCAGAACTTGTGTTTCCATCTGTTGAAAACCAGCAGCATTCGATACAGCAAAATTTTGTTGCAGTTTTCTAGTTGCCCATTTAAGTGGAAGTGCATGTGTGAGACAGGTGAGGGGGTAGAAAGGATCTTAAGGGGTGAAGTCTTACACCTAAGTACATGATGTTCCCAATGTCACTGAGCACGAAAAGCAGCAGGCACAACTGTCGAGCCTTCTTACACAAACCCAGCGTTTCCTTTGTCAATTAGTGGACCACCTCACACAATGGCCATTGTATCTACAGCTGCACCACAATGGGCTTATGGAAATCAGCTGGCTGGAGAATGGGGCAAAGTGATATTCATTTCCTCACAGTTTTTCTTTCATGTAGGCACATATTTAGGCAGGAGGTTTGGGCTCTCCTTCCATCCAGGTGCAGAAGTTGTTGTAAACCTGGCCAAGGAGGAGTTCTTGGGCAGTGAACATGGAGCAGAGGGGGTGAAGGAGGTATGTGGTCACAACTGGGAGGAAAGCAAGATGCAGAGGGCCACAAAAAGGTCTTTTCCTTATACAACCCTTGACTACATAACTGAACTCAGTGAACTTAGTCCTGAGGAGAATGACAAGTCATTGTGTACATGGGCAGAATGATCATATTTTACTAGTCCAAATGCAACATTTATGGTCTGTAAAACACAACTTTGGCTGGTCCAGCAACTGGTTCACATGGGGGAGGGGAGATGGCACAGGAGCAAAGGCCGTTAGCATCTGCGAAATGCCTTCAGAATTCTGTTTCTTTGAGAACTAATTTATGTAATTCTCTGCTGCATAGAAGTTGCACAATAATGGCAATAAAGCAAGATAATGTTCAACTCAACACTTTGGGATTGCAGGCTAGCTTTTACCAAACAGTAAGTGCACTAAAAAGGGGTGAGATGAGGGACAGTGTTTAGGCAACCGGATTCCATTCGTCAGAAGGCAACTCTGCTTGCTTCAGGTCAGCAAGGTGCCTTTAGGGAGGTCGCTCTGGCTGAAGAAGTAATCAGTTTTAATAGCTGAGTAAACCAAATGTGGGGCAAGCTGAATTATGGCATTCTTAATTCTGTGCTATTGCTTATGCTGCTATGAATTGGGCATCGAAGGAGAAAGAACAGGGCCCACTCGACTTTAACACTGTGAATCCCATGACGCAGTATAACCTTGAGGAAAACTAGGGTTCAGTGGGTATTTGTACTAGACTTAAGCCAGTGAGATCCGGATTTGGCTCTAGGCTCAGAAGTGGAGGATAAACTCCATTCATGCCACCCTGACAGCCTTGAAATAAAGGAGGGGCACAAGTGCACTGAATTTGTGCATAAATAGGAAAATTAGGAAAACACACATTTAGGAAAATGTACATTAATGCAGCTCTGGCGTGGTTCTCCCTAGCATAAAGGTGCAGCATCTCCATCGGAAAGGTGCCCCATCAGGTTCACCGGTGCTCTGCTTCACCACAGGATCTTGTACTTGCTGGCCTCATAAGAGGCCATTATGGGGAACAGGAGGTCTGTGCATTTCAGAAATCCCCTCCAGGCCCCTTCGTTTCTTGGCCAAGCTCTGCAGGGGAAGAGGAGAGCTGGATGGTGATGTGCGGAGGCAGGCAAAGAACTCCAGTTCCTGGTATTGCACTCTTGTGCACGCATTTATCTATGCAATTCCATGGAAGCCTTCATGGATATTCTTCCCCTCCACATACATTCTTTTGAAAGTCACCACACGTGAGTGTAGAATTTAGGGGCAGGAAGAGCTGCTGGTAGATTTTAACTGGTCCAGGGTGCTCCTGATCCAGGTCAGGGTCTCACATGTTTTCTTGGCTCACCTGCATGCTACTTAACAAGCATATTAGGTGTTTATGCAGCCCTAAAACTGGAAATCCCATGGTGCATTCTGCCTTTCAGAAATATCTCCTGGTAAAAAAACACTGGGCTCTTTAATGAAGTTAATTAAGAATATTAACTGTTTGCTAGGACAAACACTTAAACTGGATTTAAGTGATTGCTAGGACGAACTTAAATCTGAATGGGCATATCAATTGTCCACAAGTCTCTGAGTCTTGGTAAATGGAACTGAAGCAGGTTTCCTGCTGATTTTCTATATTTATTCATTTATTATAGTTATATTCTGCCTTTTTTCTTTCAAGGAATTCAAGGAGGTTTCCATAATTCTCCTCTTCCTCTCAACCTCATCCTCACAACAACCCTGTGAAGTAGGTTAGGTTGCAAGTCTGTGATTGACCCAAAGTTGCCTAGTGAGCTCCATGGCTGAGTGGGGCTAGAACCCAGATCTCCTGGGGAGTAGAACCCAGATCTCCTGGGTCCCGTTCCTGCACTTTCAGCCACCACACAACAGTGTGATGGGAATTCCTAACATCACTGGAAAATGCTTACTAGGTCTGTGTATGTGGACTGCCTTATTAGTCAGCTAATGAACTGCAGTCAGTGCTTGTAAGGTGATCTCAAAAACTGGAATGCGGACAGGCATGTGAAACCGAGACTCAGGAGAGGGGCTATAGAAGCATGATAGGTCAGCCATACGCAATGCATTCTTGCACATTTGTATATTTGCTAAAGCTTTACTCATGTGATGCACACGCTGTTTGCCTTCAGGGGACAGAAGAGCCTCTGGAAATGCTGAAGCTAGCTCAATGAATGTTGCCTCTGACGCAGTCCGGCTCTCTGCCTGGTAATCACTTGTCTCCCACCAGGAATTCTTGCTGTAGTTGGTCATTCAGGATCCATGAATAAATCATCTGTCAAGCTTATCTTCTCTGCACAATAGTCTGCGGTAGAGCTACTGTCGACGGCATGTACGTTAAGGATTGAAGAAACAACTGGAGAACTATGTGAGTCAGGAGGGAGTCCAATCCTCTGGGCTGAGGGGGCCAGGGGCTCAGAAGATACCTCAATATGCTCTTTTGCCAGCTTTGGGGTGAAGGAAATGGGTCTGGGATTTGGGTTTGGCCAGACAAGCTTATAAAATACAAATAAAATGGGCAGTCCTTCTAAGCAGAATATGGAACTGGTTTGGACAGATGTGTGTTGGAAGCCAAAACACCTGGAGCATCTCAGTTTGTGGAAGGTTGTCCTAAAAGCATTATATCCCCCCCCGCAACCCCCCCCCCGGCTCATCCAGATGTTTTGCATGCCATCAAACCCAATCAATATGGTCAATGATCAGGGATTATGGAGAAGAACAATAAGGGAACCCATCACTTCATTTCCTGCTTATGAGTTTCCCAGAGTCACTTGCGTGGCTACAGCAGGAAGCAGAATACTTGTTCTGAACTGTTGGGGCTCCTCTTATCAATTTTTTCTTGAATAATTTGGTCTGGATTTGGAGGATCTGATGTCCATCTTGGTGCCAGCTCACTACCCCTTGTATATTTGTAAATAATCAGATACTACAAAAATAGTACAAGTTTCCAGTACTCTCAATTTATAAGGAAACTGTCTTCTTCATGAATAAGAAGCACAGGGGGTTGGATCCGAACTTAGCCATACTTAGATTCATTGCTAGTCAATATAATTAACAGTGCCATTTAAAATCATGCATATGTTTTAAACAGCATGAAACAATGTGCATGTCCAAACATCTCATTTCTAATTTCAACTGCTCTTTTCAAAAGGGCCCAGAGTTTTGTCAGCGAGCTGTCAAAGCACCTTTTTCCCTAGAAAAAGGGTGGGGTGGGATACACTTTTGTATTTCCCCAAATGCCTAGAGGCTGGCAGGAACTTCAGAGAGGGAGAAAAATGAGGATCTTACTGTGTAGGAGATGTAAATCCCCCAAAATGCCCATTTCACAACTAACAATCATTTGTTTTTCATGACAGATCACCTTCAAACAGCTGTCAAGAAATCCAAAGAGGGGAAATTTGGAGGCTCGTCTGGACAATGTCCAGGGCAGCCCTACATCTATTGTCCCAGCTCAGGTTTCAGATTCCCACACCTGCACAACTGTGGCTAGAAAAAAAAAATAAATATATCAAATTTTGTTTTGCTCAGCTTCTGCACAAAAATAATAAAAGCCTGGGCAATCACAGGCAGCCTGTCCAACATGCCACCAAGATAATTCAGAGAGGCTGCTTGTAGCTGTCAAAATGCGGATCATGAAAGCTGGCTTGACAGCTGTATCTCAAAATCTGCAAAGAAATAAATAGAGGTTGAAGAAAAACAAAGCTATGGTGAGCCTGAAACAGCCTGTGGAGGGGAGTGGGGGGAATATCTCATCCCTCCTGCACTGTTCCCTGCGATAGCAGCGGAAGACTGATGTGGAAGGACGGGCCAGGGGCCAGCCCCATATTTCACACAGAATGCACCCACAGCGCTTATTGTTGGAGCGGGTGAGCACGCAAATGTATCCAGCATTGCCTTTTTGACAGCACTTTAAAGCGATGGCACAGGCTCAGCTGCCCTTGCTTTATCTTTTCTAATGCCCTTGTTATCCGAATTGATTTTCTGTCTACTTCGTTTCTTTAGCGAAGCAGCCTAGGCTAGGAGCAAAAAGCAGGGAGCCGAGAGCTATTAAACAATTTAGCTTTGTACACATTCAGTGTGGATTTCGTATCTGCTTCATTCTCTGTCATTGAAAGGAGTATCTGGATCAGTTTGGCCCATGAGGAGGAGGGGGAGAAAACAGGGGCATTGCATCATCACCAGTTTGGGAGTGAGCAAGTCAAAAGTGTAGATCACATTTTTGGGGTGGTGTTGGGGTGATTCTGATTAGCTGCATCCTGATTGCCTTATCAGAATAAGTATTTCACAAGTATTCTTAATAAGGCGCAAAGAAGTATGAAATAAGAAAAAAGACAAAGAAAACTCTCTTCCCAAGGGTTCTTTGAGGTTCTGCTTTTTAAAGAGGCATAAGAGGAACCAGTGAGTCCTTGGTCAAAGATCAAGCTAGAATCTGACCTTGAAGCAGACATGAAGAAATGGAAGAGACAATCATGTGCACTTCATGAGAAGACAAGACTCACTGGAGGAGACAATCATGCTAGGAAAAGTCAAAGGCAGAGGAAGAAAAGGAAGATCAGCGAAGAGATGGACTGATTCTGTAAAAGAAGCCACAGCCTTGAAATGACAAGAGCTGAGCAGGGTTATCAAGGACAGGGAATTTGGAAGCCATTCATTCATAGCATTGCCATGAGTCAGAGATGGCTTAATGGCAGATAACAACCACAATGTTCTTTGGTTCACTGTAATAACAATCACAGTAAAACAATCATAATAATTATTACAGGCATCCTGTCTTTTTTTCTTCTTGCAAGGAACCTTAAGTAATATATAGGGTCACCTGCTCAGAAAAGATCCTATGAGGTGGGTTAGGTTGAGAATCAGTGATTGGCCGAGTCAAGCAGGAAGTTTCATGGCTGAATATGGACTGGAACCTGAATTTCCAAGTCCTGGTCCAATACTCCAACAGCCACAACACACTGGATTTTTCAACGTTATGTAGTTTCTTCTCTTTTCCACTTCCACTCTTTGCCTGCTTCTCATAGACTGGTAAAAACCAACGGACACTAGATTCTGTAATGCTCAGCAGCGTGTATTCTGTTTAACAAAACAAATTCTTTTCACTATTAATTGTATTTTGCTATATTAAATTTAAACAGGATTATTTCACGAGCAAACCAAATTATACGTCATACCTTTTATGTTTATAAAGTAACAAGAATACAGTGTGATAGTAAATACTTATTGCACAGTTTTCAGTGTTTCCCAAAATGTCGATTCCACCCTGCAGCATCAAGGTAAAAATTCAGCCAGTGAATATGATCTTACATGGTCTACCTAAAGCAGAGGTAAGCCACATGCCGTAGCCATGCCATCAAAAATGTGGAGCAGAGAAATTGTGCTCCTATGAAGGGTTATGCCGATCAACTTTAGCTTGGAAATGGGTTAAGTTTGTCTGTTCGAAGCACTCCACAGAGGTTGCCCCCAAATTCTTAAAACCTTTCTTTGGGTGAAAATGAAATGAAATAGAGTTGCTGTTGGAGCAAGGTAAATTGTCCACTCCAACAGGTCTTAGGAGTGGGGATCTAAAAGCCCAGTAATACTGTTTCTGTCACAATGACCACCAAGGACTTTGGAAACACCAGCACAACCTCCTACAAAGTAGAAGACCGTGGCAAACCCCTTTTGCTCTCCGGCTTTCCTCCTGCCTACACCCCGGAGCTTTCTAACACAGCTAATTATACCTAATGCCTAAATAGCAGCCTGACAGTGATGATTATAATTGGTTGTGTTTTGTTACACATGATGTGTGTTTTTTAATTGTAGTTTCTGGGATGGTGTTTAAATGAGGCTCTTTCACAGCTGAACTGACACCTGTAATTAGATAATGGATTAACTGGAGCAGATTTAGCAACTGAAACAACTATTTTTAGCTGGGACAGAGAGGGCAAACTCTGCCCGCCCTCTGCTTGCTGTTCTTTACTGAACTGAAATCCTCTGATCATGGCAGCGCTGCCAGCAAAGTCATTTCAGTTCTCTGGGTACCGGTCTGGTGGGCTTCCTTGACAGTCCATTTCTGGGTATTCTGCATCAAGCTGATGCCTTATCCATGCTGACTGATGGTCCTTCCTTGCACTGGAAAGTGGAAGAGGTGATAGTAAGGCTTTCAGATCTTATTTATTTATTTATTTATTTAGGAGACTTCTATGCCGACTTCTATGCTCTTGCTGTTATTTGTACAAATCAGCCCAGAGAAAATCAGAGTATGTGAAAAATGTAGCAGGACCCCAATTCTGCTGCTTCAGTTACCACGGTTTCACTTAACACTTTCATGGTTGACTTCGGTCTGAAAGAGAAGTTGTAAAGTGCCAAAGAGAAGTTACGAAGTGCTTCCTTTAGGGAAAAAGTCTTGCTTTAATAAGGAAACAAACCAACAAATGAATGCTGAGGTTGCTAGGATGTATGGTATGACCAAATCTTCTGTCTGTGAAACTGTGGAAAAAGAAATTTATATGTACAATAGAGTATCCGTGGTTCAGGCATCCACTGGGGGGCTGGAACCTATCCCAGTGGATAGGGGGTCCTGCTGTACTCAAGCAGCAGCGGAAGGTTTCCTTCCATTTCTCTGATGAGGCTCCTCCATGCTTGCAGTGCCTGGCAACGGTGACCCATGTGCTGGTAACTTCCTAACTGGACTTCTGTGACGCACGCTACGTGGGACTGCCCTTGAAGACGGTCCAGATACTTCAGTTGGTTCAGAGCTACCAGGTTGTTAACAGGGACTGGCAGGTATGAACACACAATGCCGGTCCCTTACCACCTACAGTGGCTACCAGTTGAAGTCCAGGCCCAATTTAAGATGCTGGTGATGACCTATAAAGCCCTAAAAGGCTTAGGGCCTGGTTACTGGAAGGTGCATCTCCTTCCACATGTGCCTGCTTGCCCCTTAAGATCTGGGGCAGACGTCCTTTTCCGGAAGCCCTCCCTGAAGGAGATTGGGGGGGTGATACCCAGATAAGGGCCTTCTCTGTGGTGGCACCCCGATTGTGGAATACGCTTGCCAGAGAGGTTTGCCTGCTGCTGTCACTTCATTCTTTTCAGTGCCAGGGTAAAACCTTTTTATTTTTCCCAATGTTTTAAGATTTGACTGTTTTAATATGGGTTTTATTGTTTACTGGTTAAAAATTTGACTAGGATACTCTGTTTTATTCTATTTTAACAATTTTGTCTTATTGTTAAACCATCCTGAGACCAAGGTAAGGGATGGTGTAAAAACGGTTTAAATAAATAAAAATAAATAAATAAATAAAAAGCTAGTGGTTGCTTTTCAGTGGGATGAAGATCTTTTGATAAAGCCCAATGTACTTTAGAAGTTTGTTAAAGTCTGATGTGCTTTAGAAGCTGAACTGCTGCAGTCAGGAGCAGGAGCTACTGGCTGGTCTGTGATAGCATGTTAACCCACACTAAAATGTTGAACATGGGTTGAGTGTGGGTTGTGGTTTCACAATAGGCTGTTGCTGAAATGGTATTATCTGAATCCAGCCAAGATATGAAACCATAGTGAACAAGCCACACTTCAAAACCCAACAACAAACCATGGGTTCTCTGCATAGGCTGTTCATGGTTAACAAGCAACAGCTTGTTGGCACGCCTGGGTTTAGTTGAGTATTGCAATGAAGCTTTGAGGAATCCATCCCTCTTCAGTTCAGGTCTTCGTGCTTGGCCCTGTCTAAGAAAGTGCACAGAGCCAAGAGGAAGTCCACAAATGCTTGTAGAACCCCAGTGGTGCAGCTGGCAACCTTCTTCCTTTCACGTGCCGCACAAAAACAGGCTGCAAATCATGCGCGCAGAAGAGGGACCCTGCTTGCGCAGGGGTCACGTGGGCAGCACAGATGCTTGGTGTGCTCACCAGGAAGTCAGACTCTCCATGGCAAGAAAATGGTCCAAGAAGCCCTGGCTCAGGGAATCTGATGGATTCTCATGCCCAGATTTCTTATGTACCCTAGTTCAGACAACATGGTAACTCATGTTTCAATAAAATCATCCCTTGAGTGTAGTTCTCATGTTATCCGAACCCACTTCAGCAGTCACAATGCATGGGATCAAAACCCTGCCAATCCCAATAAACTGGGCATTAGAATCACAGAATCATAGAACAATAGAGTTGGAAGGGGGCCAGAGGGCCATTGGGTGCAATCCCTGCTCAAGCAGGACTCCAAGTTAAACCAACTCAGGTGGCTGTCCAGCTGCATCCTAAATGCCTCCAGAGTGGGGGAGCCCACAACCTCCCTAGTTCATGGTTCCACCGTTGTACTGCTCTAACAGTGAGGAACTTCTTCCCGATGTTCAGCCAGAACTTGATGTTCAAGCCAGAACTAGAGCCCGTTTTTCTGTATTCTGCACTCTGGAATGATCCAGAAGAGTTCCCATCCTTCCTCTGGGTGACAACCTTTCAAGTACTTGAAGGATGCTATCATATCTCCTCTCTTCTCCAGGCTAAACATGCCCAGTTCTACTATGCAATACAGAACAGCTCCTGGATCTATTTTTGTGTATATTCACAGTCTTATAACAAGTACCTACATTTCAAAATGTAACACTACACTACTGTGAGTTTTACTATAGGAGGCAGCGACAGACCCCCCCCCCCCGCAGTATGTAGTTCTACTCCAAGAAAACCAAACTCTTAGAACAGTCCATTAAACTATTAAAAATGAATTGCTGTAACATTTGATGAATGCCATCAGCTATGAAACAGGGTACACACCGTTTGTCATTCAACAGGGCTATATATCGGAAAGATTAGGCAGTAATTTTGCCCTTAAATGCTTGCAATTAAAGCTGGTATCAAAACAAAAGCCCCCCTACAGCTTCCTTCTTGACAGTTCATTCCCAGAAAATAGTAATTTATTGCTATTGCATCAGTGTAAGTTAATCAGCAACAGACAATGCAGAGACATAAAATGATTTCTAATATCTCTGTGTGCGTTTCTTGCAAAACATCATATCCACATTAATGATCCCTCACTCTGGGAAGGTAAAAACAAAACCGAAGGCTACTCAACTCTCAGGAAAACTACGTTCAGCTCTCTGAGTTGTTTTAGTGCACTTCCATCCCACTTTCAACAGAACTTCAGTAAGACACAATCCTATACAACTTCAGGCAGGAAAAACGGCATACAACTCCAAGCAAGATTCCATTGGTATGCTAGAGTTGTAGGCTTTTTCTTGTCTCAACATGCACCTAACTGCATCTTGTAAAGTTGTGGGATGTGATTCACAGCCTGTATTTTTGAAATGTACTTTATGGAACCTCCTTTTATCATCCCATTAGCCCATTCAAAGCATGTCACTTTTTTTTAGTTCATAGCCTAAGCCTAAATCCCATGCTCCAGATGGGTAACCAACATTATTCTTAAGGCATCTCTGCTAGGGCCACTGGAATCCTCATTCTTATGTTTGTTCAGGGATCAGTGAATAGAGCAGGTTTTCTTCTCCTTGCACTGGTCTTTGAGGGGATCTCCACTAGTTGGTTGTGGGAACGCTGCAGACCTGATGCTGCCCACCCCTCATTTAGATCAGATGCCTGAGACTCAGGCTTGGCTGCGTTTACTTTTTCTAACCTTGAAAAGGAACACAAGATAAAGACTTCACTAGCTTTTCAACCCCCAACAGTTGTGATCTCTGGGAAAGCACCACAACTCTGGCTTGATTAAAAACCTTAGTCTTGGGAAAATGTGAGGCAAATGTGGATCCCCGAATCCAGTGAAGACTTGGAGGTGGTTATGGAGGGTAGATGATTCAGGGCTGAGGGCCCCTCCACCAAGCCCTGTATGGGCTCTGTGACATCAGATCCATTGATGTCATTTGCTCCCTGGCCAAGGACTTGGTGGATCTTCCAGGCGCCACTGTGCATGGGCTTTCCTGGTTATTATATTCATCTTTCCTCCAGAGACAAGTTCAGCACCACGCCATCCTCAAATGCCCTGCCTGCACAGGGAAGCAGAGGGAACCAAGCCGCTTCTCTTTCGTGCGTTCCATCTCCTTCGTCATTATGGGATAGGCCACTCCACCTCCTCTCCCATTGCAAGAGGGAGTCAGGGCAGGTGAAGACAGGGAGTCACGTGTGTGAGCAGACAGCAGCTGTTTTCGTTGCATGAGTGAGTCTCAGCACCTTTGCTCCTCATACCTTTAATGCTGTCTTCCACCTGAGATCAGTGGGTGGCAAGGAGGGTTGCACTAGGAGAGGATTCCTCCAGGGCGTGAGGCTATGTTAGATTCAATAGACTCAGTACATCAACATGACCAGGCTGAAAGTTGATTAGGACTGACTAATGCCCTCTCCTTCCCAGCGCATGATATCTCAAACCCATGCCTTCAGGGCGGTTCTTGGTTTTGCAGAGCCACTCAATTCTTCCCCTCCCCTCCCATCCCCCTTCCCCTCTGCCTCCCACTCCTTCTCCTCTTAATTGATGTCTCAGCCTTGCATCTGTCATTCTCCTTCCCTCCTGCTCTTCCTCTTCCTCAGAAAAGCCCAGGTTTCCCAAACTTTTAGAAATAGATTGGCTTTCTCCTCTCCCACCTCCCTTATCTCCACCTCCCCTCCCCTCCCCTCCACTTCCCCTTTATCCTTTTTGTCTGAATTGGAATCTACTCCCACCTCCTTCTGAAGCTCCTTTGCAGAATTAATGGACCCAATCTGCACACCAACGTAAGATACTTGCTTTGTTCTAACATGAGCTAAGGACCAGCCCATACGAAATTCCACTGAATCACACAAGGAACCTGAATTTTCATTACGTTTAAAAAGTTGCTAACATATGTTCCCAATGTGCAGAGTTTTGTTTCTTGATTGAGGAAATATGGAGGCCCTCACAGTCTTAGGCAACACTGGATTAAAACCATCAGTCATGGTGGTGAACATCATGGAAACCCTGACGAGAGCATTGGATGCTGCAATTGATGAGCTGATTACATCCAAAGTCCTGGAATGTAGTATTCGTTGTCTTATGAAACTTAAGGCTTATGAAAAAAGGATTTTCTTCTATGGAAAATAATGAGAGCAATGTCATGATTAAACCATTCATCATATTTTGCTGTCATAAAGGGAAGTTTATGGGAGGGTTCAAGAAAGTTCATTCCTGACGTTGAGAGGGAGCCACTTTGATGACCAAGAACACAGTTGCTCAAAACAAAGTCCATTTTCTGAGAATTTATCAGAACTTTGAATCACCCAGGTCTGTCATTCCAAACTGTGTTCAAAGTTCCTCATGGGCTTAGCAAGGGTTCTTCTGTGAGATTACTGGTAGCAATGGTCAAGCTGTCCTGAAAGACATTTTGTCTTTGCCGGGAAATGCTTGGTCCTTGTGCAGATGTGTGGAGCTGCTGAATTGCAAGTGACAGCTTCTTAAAGAGACCCTGGACATTTAGGCCCTAAAGTGACACCATCCACCCAGGCTGGTCACTGGATCCTTCTGGGCAGGAAGGGCCTGAAGGCATCCACCATGTAGGAGGTAAGCCTGAACTTGGAGAGGAGACCACGTGGGAAGCGCATGCAGCTACTTTGAGTTCCACAATGGGAGAAAAGGTGGGATATGGAAGGAGGGAGGGAAGGAAGGAAGGAAGGAAGGAAGGAAGGAAGGAAGGAAGGAAGGAAGGAAGGAAGGAAGACGGACGGATTTCTTTCCAGCTGGGCCTTGCTTAAGCATTGAGGTCCCCCTGAGTTCTGAGCTGGGGTACCAATACGCCTGCTTTGTAAAATAGTGTGCAAGACTGAAAAGGCTGTAAAA